AGTTCAAAATTGACCACCAATATAATTTGAAATTTTTAATAGAGTATGACATTTTCCTCAACAACTTTGAAGGCTTCTCTCCTCTCTTAAGGCTTCAGCAGGTATACACTGCATAGTAATAGCCCTTTGGTTTTGGAATGCATGCTAGAAGTCCTAAGTTAGTGGAAAACGTCAAGAATATATAGAGTGGAAACCATGTATCATCAGACTATCTGTCATCTCACAAAATTCATACTGAAAGTATGGGAAGTTTATGGAGGTTTAAAAAAGTAAATATACAAGGAGCAAAGGATATGAGATTAAAAAAAAGAAAGAAAAGAATGTTATCAGAGGATGGCATAGAAACAGAAACAGACAGATCTTAAAATGGGAAATGTACACATACAGACTTAGGGAGAGCTCACATCCAGGCAAAGGCGAGCCAATACATTGCATATGTAAACAGTACTATGGGATTTAAGATACAAAAAAATGGTCTTTTAAGTGTTATAGAAGTAAATACATATCATGAAAAATTTACCAATTTTTTTCTGAAGAATATCTGTAAAACATAAATGGAAAATGAATGTCAATATCACACAAAACAAATATCAAAAAATTAAACAATATAAAAGCTTTGAATGGTTTGAAAAATCTGATTCTGATAAAAGCATACAAACATACACATAAACAATAAATGAAAGCTGCATTTTGTCCAGAGAATGTTGATGAAATATGAAAAGAAGGAAAATGTCTAAATTATTATTGAGGGAAATTTGTAGAATTCATTCTGATGGTTACTGGTTGAGAATGTGCTTAATTACTTTTGACATTATTTTTATAATTTTTTAATTCAATTTGTTAGATATAACACCTTCTTTGCATTGTACATATAATTAATTCTTAATTATTGCTCTAGTCACATATTCACAGTTGACCAATGTATAATATCAGAATTTACAGTGTTCAAAAGAAAAATGTATGAGAAAAATCGCTGAGACAATTTCATATCTTATCTCATCTTGTAAAGTTTATCTAAGCAATAATTGCATAGTAATGTTTTCTGGAAATGTGAATAAGAGACAGAGTTCTGAAGTTTGGATTATCCCAGAAATAAATATAGAATGGAAAGCACAAGTCTATCAAGCTAATGTTCTTCTTCTCCAAATTTCATTGTGTATTTTCTCTGGGTGACAGAAAACCCAATAGCTATAGTGAATGATGGTTATGAAGTTAAAAAAAAAGAGGGGGGGGTTGTTAGAAATGAAAGATCGTAGCCAAGCAGCCATGAGAAGGACATAGTATGAAAGAAGAGTACATTTTAAAAACTTGAGGTGGAAAGAGTATACAGAGAGGGGTGAGGAAGACAATGGATGGTATAGAAGTAAAGGAGAGGTGGGTATTAAAGTACTATTAAAACAAATGTTTGGGAGGAATCAGTTATCAGTTATTACCAAGTTTTTCCTTAATGTCTCTTGAAAAATAAAATAGGTTACTGTATCATGGAAAATAAAGAGAAAGAGAATTCAAATATCTTTAAAATTTATTTTTAATTTTAAAATTTTTGCACCAAAATTAACTTATACTTTAATTATATTTCTCCATGAACGTTTAAAGTATCCTCATACAGTTAATATTAAATACCATAATAGCAATGTTGTATAAAGTCCCCACAGTACAGAATAAGAGAATGAGTTAAAATAAACTATTGCTCCTGTAGGAAGTACAGAATAGGTTTCTGAATGACTTTATTAACATTTTTGTCAACCAATTAATACATGATTTTGCTATTTTTTAGTTTCTATTTCACTTCATTCCCAAATGAAGATGAACTAAAGTAAGAAATCTAAATGAAGGAAGTTAAAATATGAATTGGCACAGAAAGGAATTCAAATCACATTATATCACTCATATTGGAGAAAATTTAAATATCAGAAACTTAAAAAGTAAGATATCACAGGTATTTAATTAGTGAAATGTATTTAATGAGGGATCTGTTCTCTTTGATTGAAAATAGAGATAAAATGAGGATGTAATTATGAGAAAAACTGAATTGCAAAGGAAGGTGCTAAACTTTCACAGGAAGGGTCAGAATATAAATATGTGTATGCCATAGCTGAACTTGAGCACTGAGGTTTAAAGATAATATACAAAAACAGCAGTAAGAATGACTAGAAGTAGAATAAAACTGGTGCTTGCTTTGGCCCTGCTCATACTTATCTATAAAATAAAAGGAAAAGGGGGGCTGATTCATTGAAAACGAAGGCATAATATCAAAAAGGGCAGAGGACAAAAATTTTCAACTTGCTTGTTTTTGTCTGTGGTTCAAATTAACCCATGTTCCTGAGAACTGGAAGAGTATGTTACCAAAGGACACTTTACCTAATAGAGGCAATAATTCTGTAGAATATGGCACCCTTGTTGCCAAAGGAATTAGCAGAGGAAATGGTATCTGACAAGAGACAGAATGGGCATCCCTATGTGAAACACATTACCTGCATTCTTGGTTTTCATTTTGAAATTCCCCTGTTTCTAGCATAAAATGAAACAAACTGCATGTATAAGACTGAGGCATAAGAAATTGATGAGTTGTCCAGTGAAAGCACCACCCATCAATCCAAAATTCTGCCTTGGTAGTAGTCACATAGAGACAGGATAATGCATTGATGATATGTATTTCCACATTCACTTTCTTCTACAAGCAAAAATATAATTTAAAATATAGGTTCTATTAAAAATATAAGTGTCATGTTAAAATTTTAGTGATTATATAAGGATTTTATTTAAAAATATATTTTGACAGGAAGTGGATGAATATGGAAGATTTACTGCTCAGTGAAGCATCCAGGCTATGAAGGAGAGGCATTGTATGTCTCCATGTAATAAATATTGTGTCCACACTCTATGACTGAAACTAATTGACTAAAGGATATAGAAACACAGTATATAGATGTAAATACCAGATATAGTGTATGTGAAAGAGGAGGGTCTGAGGAAGGATATTTAGAAGGGAGGCAAAGCATTAATGGCACAAAGAAATATGTTATTATCTGTTTTGTAGTTTTATCAACTGTACTAGGGAGAAATGTTCGCCTGTTGAAATATCCATTTTGTAAGCCAAATAATAACGTGATTGAATGTATAAAAGAAAATGAAATAAATAAAAGAAAAAAAAAAGAACACAAAATAAATGTAAAATTCAAAACTTTTTTTTTTTTGAGAGGTTTTTCACTATAGGGCATGTGCGCTCGCCAGACGGACAGAGAGAGACAGAGAGACAGAAAGCGAGAAATCACCCCCCAGGGGGGATGGCCACGCTGCAATCCCTCTTCTGCCATTCTTGGGCATGCATGCACACGCACCCAGCATGGATTTTAAGCCACCGGGTCCAGGACGTGAACCGCGGTCAACTATGTGGTAGTCCAGCAACATAGCCATTACTCTAACTGCTGGTTCCCAAATTCAAAACATTTCAAAAAAGAAAAAGTATTATAAATTTTGTCTGAATTTGTAAAAGACTCCATATAACCAAAGCAATAATGTAAAAAGTACAATAAAGCAGGAGACATTTACTCCCTGATCGCAAAATATATTACAAAACTGTAATAATCAAAACACCATGGTACTCTCACAAAACAGGCATGTAAACCAATGGAACATAATGGACACCTCAGAAAACCAAACATATATTATGAACTTATTTTTGACAAAGGTATACCCTAAGATAAAGGGTTGGTTGACTAAGACAACCAGTGGGGAAAGAAAATCTCTTCAGGAAGTGGTGCTGGATAAATTGGATATCTACCTGCAGAGAAATAAAACTGGACCTCATCTCTCAACATTATCAAAAAATCAACTCTTTTTGACAAAGGTATACCCTAAGATAAAGGGTTGGTTGACTAAGACAACCAGTGGAGAAAGAAAATCTCTTCAGGAAGTGGTGCTGGATAAATTGGATATCCACCTTCAGAAAAATGAAACTGGAACCCATCTCTCAGCATTATCAAAAATCGACTCAAAATAGATCAAAGATCTAAACATAAAACCTCAAACTGTAAAACTACTTGTGACTGGGACCAGCAGGTGGCATGATGGTTGACGTGTTGGCCTCCCAAATGGCAGTGTGTGGATCATGTCCTGGACCTGGCGGTTTGCTTTTTCTCTTTCTGTCTCTTGCTCTTTGTCTCTCTCTGGTAAATTAAAAAATGCTAATGACAATAAATAAATTTAAAAGCTTAAAAATATATATATGAAATATATATGAAATGAAAAAAACAAGGGAGAAATCAGAATAGGTGTTCTTGCATGATGACCCAAACCACTTAGATTTGGTGTGGGGTATTTTCTTTCTTTTTCTTTTTTCAGAATATTTACAAACCAACTTACATCAAAGACACAAGATGTCAAAATTAATGAATCAGAGCTTAGTAGAAATATTAATCTCTCTCAAACTGTCTGAGCAGTGGTACAAATCCTAAGACATATGTTAATGAGACGTATCCTCAAATAATTTTCCTTGGAAAACATATGATTGAGAAATATTCAAAGTAAAATACCTTTTAATTTTGAATTATTATTTTTCATAAAAAATGATATGCACACATACTAAAGTTCTTCTTTTCATTATTCTTCACTTAAAAAATTTAAATTTTGGAAGTTTAAAATCACTGAGGATTATTTGAGATATTAAGTCTTCATAAAAATGTTTAACTATTTTGATGATGTCTCTCACCACCTTTCTGTTTCACTCTCTGTCTCTTACAAATGAACGAAAGAAAGAAAGTCTAAATATATGTATGGAAAATTACAGATATCAACCAAACAACCATCAGTCTTTGTGTAGAAGATTGAGAATAATGGAATTCTTAAAAAAAACTTACCAGTAGTTTTTTCAGAGCTCCCAGAAACTAAAGTGCAAAAATCAATGTAAATATCATTGATGTTTATAAACAAAGAAAATTCAAAATTCTACCATTACAATCAATATTTCAGAGAATCATAAATACTAAAATATTTTGAATGGAAAACCATGCAAAACACCTGTCTATGTTTCAGCATTTGGATAGTATTGTAGGGGTAGTGGAAACATGAGCCCCAAGATCACATTAGACCAGTGATATCAGACTTTCAACTTTCTTTTTTTTTTTTTCTTTTTTTGGAGGGGTTTTTGCTATAGAGCATGTGTGTTCGTTAGAAAGACAGAGAGACAGAAAGCAAGAAATCATCCCCCAGGGGTATGGCCACACTGCAATCCCTTCTCCTCCATTCTCCTTTTAGGATCTTGGGCACACACATATACACGCCCGGTGTGAGTTTAAGTCACCTGGTCCAGGATTCAAACTGGAGTTGACTACGTGGGAGTCCAGCGACATAGCCATTAGGCTAACTGCTGGTTCCATCAGACTTTCAACTGTCATTGAATGTACCAAACTTGGAGAAATTGAGTTCAGTGACATAGAGTCTTCTGTGAGTTCTTAAGCTTTAGGGAAGTATCAAACTTTAAGTAACTGTCCATCATGTTTGAATATATGATCAATACCCAAGATTAACATTTTACAGAAAATTACATCAACTGTATGTTATATTCCTATCACCCCAGAATCATCCACCTTACATATGACATAGTGAATTCTGGAAAGTCTGGAAGTCAGATGACAATACACATAGAGTTGGAATGCTGAGAAAGAAAAGAGGGATAAATGAAAGAGGGGTTGGATAGAAAGCAGACATAGAGAAATTGATAGAAGGTATAATGGTGGTTTTCAAAACCAAATATTGGAGGCCTAAATGTTAGAAACTCAGAAGAATTGAGAGCCAAAGAGGGAACAAGATTGTAGGGTTCTGTGGCCCCACCAAGGATGCAGAGCAGCAGTACACCACTCTTAACACGACATGCCATATGAATGGCAAGTCTGGTTTCCTGGTCAACCCACACAGGTCTAGAATCCACAACCGACATTGATTCTGGCTAGTTGGGCAAGGCATCATAGAATGAGACTCTGTTTGAGGGCATTTGTCTCTCTGTATCTCAGGGAAGAATTAACAATATTTCTTTAAAATACAGAGAAATAAAAAACGTGAAGAAAACACTTATTTCTTAGGGTATTGAGAATACAATAAATGTGATAGAATTTATCAGGATTTTATACAGATTCATCTAAAAGTAAAATGTAAAGATCAATGTAAATAGCCTAAGAAAAAAATTGCAAGAAAAATTTACTGAAAATCTTATATTTTCAATGAAATCTTTCAAGATTTAGATAAATTCACAATGCGTAGACAGAAACACACAAAATGTGTCTTAGAATTCACTTTTGTCAAGAATATAGTCTATAGAATAAAAATGAGACCAAAAGGAATCAATATACTAAACTGAAAAATCATTCCGTATTTTTATTTATGGCAATTAACTTGTTTTTCTTCGTAAGTACTTTAAACTGTTCTTGATATTTTTAGATTATTTTATATTCCATAGTATTGCTTAGAGGTTTCTTAACCCTACTAAATTATATGAACAGTATTAAACCTGTATGGTAACTACTATAAAGTGTTACTCTGTAGAATAATGTTGCCACACATATTAATTTAAAGTATGTGAAGCCATTGGTACTAAAGAAATACAAAATTGGGTTAGTGGGTGTTCCCTTTCAGGACTCTTTGTTCACCAAGTACACAAAACGTCTTTGAGGTTCTATTTTAACAGAAGCTTGAGTGTGACTATCTAAAAACATTGAAATATTTTATATTATCTTGTTCCATCTTTGCATTTTTCTGTTTCTGTCTCTGATTTTTTTGAATAAAAGAAGAATGAATCTAAAAATATTTAGGCAAAGTTAAATATATTAATGAAAGAGTAATCAGTCTTTGTTTCAGAGATGGGGAATAATGGGATTCTTGAAAAACTTACCAGTAGTTTTCTCAGAGGTCTCTGAAACTAAAATGAAAAGATCAATGTAAATATAATTAGTGTTCACAAACAAAGAACATTCAAAATTCTATCGTTTCAATCACTATGTGAGAGAATGATAACTATTAAAATGGTTTCAATGGAAACAACAGTGTGTTTCAACATTTGCATAGTATCACAAAGGGTAGTGAAAATAATAGCCCCAAGATGACATTAGAAAAAAACAATGATATCGGACTTTCAACATTCCTCAAAAGTACATATCGTGGAAAAATTGATTTCAGTGACATCGAGTTTTCTGTGAAATATTAAGGTGTTAGGGCAGGATCAAACTTGCAATAATGGACCACCATGTTAGGATATAGGGCAAAGAACCAAAGTGAAAATTCTACAGAAAATTACATCAATTGTAAGTTTATATAGGAATAAAATATGTTATATTCCTATCAGCACAGGATCATCCACCTTACATATGACTTAGTGAAACTCTGGAAAGTCTGGGAGTCACGCAAAGCAATTTACATTGACTTGGAATGCTAAGGAAGAAAACAGAGATAATGGAATGGATAGAAAGCAGAGAAAGAGAAATCGATAGAAACTAACATGGAAGGATTTCAAAACCAATAATTTGAGGCCAGAATGTTAGAAACTCAGAATTGAGAGCCAAAGAAGGAAACAGATTGTAGGGTTCTGCGCCCCCACCAAGGATGCAGAGCAGCAGTGCACCACTCTCAATGCTACGTGCCATATGATTGGCAAGGACTGGTTTCCTAGTCAACCTACACATGTCTAGTATCCACACCTGACTTTGATTCTGGATAGACGGGAAAGACATCATAGAATGAGACCGTGTTGAGGGCAGTTGTCTCTCTGTCTTTATCTCAGGTATGAAAGAAATAAACTTTTCTTAAAATATAGGGAAACTGAAAATCCTGAAGAAAACACTTATTTCATAGGATTTTAGGAATAATAAAAATGTGATGGAATTTATTAGTTTTTTTACAGATTCCTCTGAAAGTGAGTTGGAAAGAACGATGTAAATGTCATAATAAAAATAAATATGAAGAAAATGAGCTGAAAATATTGTATTTTGAATGAAATCTATCAAGATTTCAATAAACTCACAATACATAGACAGAAACACAAAAAATGTGTCTAAGAACTCATCTTTGTCAAGAATATATTTTATATATTAAAAAATGAGTCTTAAAGGATCAATTCATTCATCTAAAAGAACATTTTGTACCATTAATTATGAAAATTAATTTGTGTATCTTGGTAAGGTCTTTTAAATTGTTCTTCATATTTTTAGATTATTTTATATTCCTTAGTCTTGCTTAAAGGTTTCTTAAATTTAATAAGTTAAATGAACAGTGCTATACCTGTCATAACTACTGTCAAAGCATTGCTATGTAGAATAACGTTGCCACACAAATGGATTAAAAGTATGTGAAGCTATGGGGACTAGAGGAATACAAAACTGAGTAACTGGGTGGTCTTTGTCACAACTCTTTGTTCACCAAGTACAGAACTTCTTTGTGTTCCATTGTAACACACGCCTGAATGCAACTTATCTAAAACATTGAAAAAAAGGAATGTTGAAAGGAGGAAAGTGAGGCGTTAAATGGCATTAAAATAAAAGTGTGCTTAACTAAATGGTCTAAGATTTTCTTAGAGCTAATTTTAAAACTTCATGAGCTCCAAATATGCAAAACGGTATTGAGTGAAATATAGGAGTCATTCAGAATAGTGAATTTACTGTTCAGGAGTAAATAAGAAAAAGTAGAAATAATAATTCTTTTGATCAATTTAAAAATGTGTTTCTGATTTACTCTGTGGTTCATATTGAGCCACATAACTGAGAATTAAAATACTATGGGCCCCAGGAACACCTGAATAACCAAGAGGCAGTGCATTTCAACAACAGCTCAAACTTTTGTGCAAATGGGATTCATATATGAAATGACACCAGAGAGAAATCTGAATGGGTGTTCTTATGTGATGAACACGAATCACTGGATTTTGTTGTTGCTCTTTCTATGTTTCTTCTCAGAATAAAATATAAACCATCATATATCCACAAAGCAAGTCCATAAATATTACTGAATCAGAACACTATAGAAACACTAAAGCTCTAAAACTCTGTCTTAGAAGTGCTCTTATGAATCCTAAGGCATATGTTAATAAATTGTAACGTCAAATAAAATTGCCTTGGAAAATATATCACTGAGGAATAGTAGAAACATCGATGTCTCTAATACTCTGTCTTAAGAGTGGGCTTGTGAATCCTAAGACGTACGTTAATGAGATCTATACTCAAATAAAATTGCCATGGAATATAGGTATGTTAGAAGAAAAAGAACCTTTTAACTTTGAATGTATATACTATTACTTTATAGTATTAAAATGATATGGCAACCTGCTAAAATTCTTGCTTTCTGTATTCCTCATTTAAAAATTCAAATTTGTAAAGTTTAAAATCACAGAGGTTTTTTTGAGTTTTTAAATCTTCATAAAGATATTTAAATGTTTTGTAATTGTCTCATTCCCTCTTTCTGCTTTTCTGTCTCTGTCTCTGACTTATGAATGAATGAAAGAAAGAAACTCTAAAAATATTTTGGCAAACTTAAAGATATTAATGAAAGAGTAATTAGGCTTTGAAAAGGATATTGGGAATAATAGGATTCTTGAAAAATTTACCAGTAATTTTTTCAGAGTTCCTAGACACTTAAATGAAGAGATTAATGTAAATATAATTGATGTTTACAAACAAAGAGAATCCAGCTTTCTACTATTTCAATCAATATGTCATCAAATCATAAATACTAAAAGGATTGGAATGGAAAACCGGGAAAATTCTATTGTAGCAGTTGTCACAGGAGGCATACATCCTTAAATTTTATTTTCTCTGAACACAAAATATGATTCCAAATAAAATTAGAAATAATACATGATAAACTTCTACTGAGTATATTAGTGCTTTCTGAAAAAAAAAAAAAAAAACGAAAAAGTCAAAAAAACTTTGATTCAACCATGAGGTTCCTAATACCATTTACATAATATTCAAAGAATTTATGTTAAGGGACATGTTCTGACTGACCTTACTTTAAGATGTACTGTTCATCTACAGCATTTAAAAATAGTTCTACCAGGCAGTCAACAATTGTGACAAAATATATCAGAAGTGAAACATTTATTATGGTAAGAAATAACATTTACTATAGCAAGAAAAAAACCAGAAAATTTACATTAAATGTTTCTGCACCTTGGAAAATAGAAAAAAAAATATATAAAGCTATTGATGTATAAACAAAACGATCACAACTGACTTTAGAGTGACATCTGCATTAAAGAGCATTTGAAGGGGTCCAGCAAGTGGCATTGTGGTTAAGACTGCTGGACTCCCACATGGCCGACCACAGTTCAAGTCCTGGATCTGGTGACTTACTTTCTCACTCTCTCTCTCTCTCTCTCTCTCTATCTCTGTCCTTCTCTGGTAACATTTAAATAAATATATAAGGATAAATTATTTTTTTAAAAAAGAATATTTGAAGAAAAAGTGGACATAAATAATTTATTTAACAAGTACAAGTACCTCATGCAATCTGAAGATGTGTTAGTTGAATAGTAATAATCTCTTCCTGC